AAAAAAAAAAAAAAAAAATCAGCTATGAGAAGTCAGCCTTAAAAACAATCTACTTATTTGTCTGAGGTGCAATGTTGCCCCAGGCAAAGTCAGCGGGGCCTTTGTATCATCTTCTCTAGCCAGAACTCATCAGAATCCATCCTTTARTTATAATTTGAATTTATAGTGATTTATAGTCACCATTAAAGTATTGTTTTGAAGGCGAAACATCAGGGATTTAAAGCCCAGAAGACATACTGGCATCTTTCTATCTCTGGTAAAATTAAAGAAGAAAAAGGCTTTCATAGGTTTGAAATAACAGTGAAACATGGTGCTTGAGAAGGCTGAATCCTGTGGGTTTTTTGTTGGTACCAGTTACAGGTTGATTAGTTAAATGTCAGAGGAGGCAAACACTGTTGAGGTAAAGCTCAGCTAGCCCAAAGGAAAATCTGCATCTGTAACTTGAAGAATAAAGCCAAGACTRCAGATGGTGCATTTTGTATTGATGGCTTTTCATTTCACTCTTCCCATGCACTTTTTTCCACACTTGTGGTTGATTGAGCTGAGCTGGCAAAATTTTATAAGTAGTGACCAAGGCCTTTTCAGTCCCTAGCCATCRATACAATATCCTGTCCTTGCAGCCAAGTTAAAATTTTTCAGTGGGAAAATGTCCATAACAGAACCATGGTGGGTTTTAACACAACAGACCCTGCCAGGCTGATTGGAGTTTAATTGCAATCACCATTTGCAGCCAGAGCTTTGATTCTTGGCTTGCACCTTTGTCAAATGCAGTCACTGAAATGATAGGGCTTATTTGCTGGCCACTCATGGCTGAATTGAAAGACATCCACAGTAACAGCTGAAATTAGAGTGTGTGTGACCGATTTCTCAGGCAGGAGCTGGCTGAGCAGTCCATGGTAAGTGGGGCAACTCTTGACAGCCACACTGAAATACTGATGAACAGCAGCTCTCGTTGTCAGTACTGACAAGGATCCGACACTCCCTTCACTGAGCAAATTCATGCTGTATGAGAAATCAGTTTCGCTCACACAAATAAATTAAAATTAAATTAAAATGAAATGAAATTAAATTTCAAAATACGGTCACTTAGGAAAGGAGGGCAGTTGTATTTTTTGTGATGCACTTGTGAGGAGTGATCCTGTGGTTTGCCCTTTATTTTTGAATGCTCCCTAACATTTGGACAGCTATCATCTCTGCCAGGGGTAACAGTTTGGTTTTGAACAAAATCCCAAACAGTATCAGTTAGTTACCACACTAAATTTTTACTTCTACTCCCTCACATGTAGAATTTACCTGGAAATTGCCCTGCCCTGTGGCACAGATTTGTGGCAACTTTAGGGTCCAAAATGTTCTGGGGTCATGTTTCTTCCCATGCTGGTCAGGAGGTCTGTAATGTTAAAACCTGGTGGTAATTTTGGGTCATTAACAGTGATTCTTCTGAAGAATCTTGTGTTGCTGGTTTCCCTGGAGTGAAGCAGAGAGGTGGGCCAGCAGTGCCTGCCTGAGAAAACTGTAATGTGATTCTGAAATTCTGCTTCTGGGAAATTCCTGGTTTAGGGGATGTATCAATACTTGATGACAAATGAATTCTTCATTTGCTTTATCTGCCAAAGAATGCACTGATTGCTCAGCTGGAGAAAGGAATATGTTTAATTACAGTCTCCTGGAATTTCTGTACTGCAGCGTCATGGGTTGGTTTTTTTTTTTTTTTAGGCATTCTCTTCTTCTCCTGAACCTCTGTGTAGTGTAGAATATACTGAATATTAGATGAAAGCAAGATAAATGTACTTCACAAATTAAAAAATATATAGTTTATATGTTGTGCTTGCATTGATGGAGCAGCTGAGTTTTAATCATCCAAGTTAAGTCAGTTTAAGTAAAAAAGGRAGTGGAGTTTACTCTGAAATGGCCTTCTCAAATCCTAAAGATTAGCACTATGATGTGGGTTTATTATCCTGGCTGATCAGATTATCACTGGTTATGGCAAAGTGGAAGTTTTTTTTTAATCTGCAGGTATAGAAATGTCAGAGCAGGTTGTCCAAGCAAAACACTACTTTCATAATTGTAAGGACCTCATTTTTTGAGAGCTAATTAGCTATTATTGCAGTCTGTTGATAATATCTGTCTGAAATTGGTGGGTGTTCTGCCAATTGATGGCAGCTATTTAAAGGACACAGACACCAATGGAAAGAATGGTCTTACTTTACTACGAACGTTAAGGCAACACAAAAGGAAAAGGATACATTCAATAAAACTCTGCATGCGCTTGACTTTAGCAACAAGCAAAAATAAGCAAGGTAGTGCACCTAATCATTACTATACCAGAGAAAGGATAGTGCACCTAATCATTACTATACCAGAGAAAGGATAGTGCACCTAATCATTACTATACCAGAGAAAGGATAGTGATTGAGAAAGATCCATCAGCAATTGCCTAAATCCTTTACCATCATCCACAGTCTGCAGTCAGTGGGGAGCCCCATTTTGCAGTGAGGACCTGGAGAACCCTTCCTGGCAATTGGGAAAATCCTACATGACATGTCTGCCTGTTAGTGMGGTCTCCAAATTCACCCTGAACGTGGGTCCAGCTTTTACAGGCTCAAATCAGCAAGTCAAAGTGATTTGATAATATTTTTAGCACAGAAACTCCTGGATCTGATGGCKCACTTCCCGACCAGCAGGGGCCAGGCCTTGACTGGGAGGGGATACCCTACAGACAAGACTCTATTCATGTCAGTTGGGAAAATGTCTTAAAATTACACTTTTCTTGCAGATAGGTGCACAAGGTTATGTGAAAGTTTCTAAAGCAGCCAGTTTGGTGTTAAACAGTTAGCATTAAGTGTCTCGTTCATCTGTTTTTAGCTAAATAATACTGATGGTGTCAGTCACATAATGCCCAGGATCCAWCTTGTAARTCAACTCTGSCTRAGGCCTGCTGCTCAGGCCTAAGCTCATCAGTGGGATTTCTCATAAAATTAGAGCAGTGCAATGTTCAGCTTTGTCCATGAGAATTGTTTCTCTGGTGTGACCATGTTTGCWTCTTGTGTTTTTGTACCACATCCCTCATGTTGGTTTTGTTTGTGTGTTATCTCCCACATGCTGCTAAGAGGTTGCTTTCCCTGGGCCCTGGTGCTCGGGACAGTTCATGGCTCTGCAGCCTCCAAGCTGAGAGGGATTTCTCCAGTTGTKCAGCTCTCTGCTGACCTGCTTGTGTTTGTGCTCCTGAACCCATTGCAAAATGCAAAATGCACTGACTTTGCCTAATGCTCTCACTTAAACTGAACCTCTGAGTTTGCCTAAAGTAAATGGTAACAGAACGAAGCTATACCCGTGGAGCAAAGGTGGGAATATAAAGGGATTATTTAGTTCTCTCAAGCACAGGAAAGATGAACTTTAAAATACATGYTTTACCTGAAGTCACATCCTTGCAGAGTGGGTATGAAATGCCACAAAACAAAAGCAAGAGTGGTTTAGACCCAGGATGAGCTAAGCCGAAAARGACAGCTATATATTTCTAGTTAAATTTAGCAGTGTGTTAGAGCTGGTAGTAATGACTGTGCAAAATGCAAGGCATGAAGAACTGTACTCAGAATGTGATGCATGTGAATACCACTGTGTATCTATGTGTATGGTGTATGTATGCATATATATTTATATACACATGTATATGATTTTCCTAGTAGTGTTCTATTTATTGACCAGCTATTTACAAAAATAATCTTTAAATTATGAAGTTGTTTATATTGGGGTTAGAAGTCACATARTTCTTAATTCTGTGCTGCACCAGTTTATCCACTCTGGGATTGTTTACTGCATTAATCGTCACCTCAAAGGGGMTCTTCGAGACCAGGGCAGGCAGTGAAATTGCACCCCTCATTTGAAGCCCTAAAGAAAGAATTCACAGTATTTCTAAATGATTCATTTAAGACTTTCCTGGGCCTTCCAAGGCATCTGCTCTCCAAAGCTGATCACAGTCGATCATGCAGCATATTTTAAACCTTTTTCTGTCACCTCTTTGATGCTGGGACACAGAGCTGCTTGCACTTCTGTGCCCATGGAAACTCTCTTACCTTCTTTAGAGATACACTTATCTCTTGATGTTAGTGCCAATTAATTTCTCTCCCTGAAGGAAATACAAAACGGAAAAGCRTGAGAAGAAATATTTGAGTCAGAGATGAGGTAGAACAGCACTAATTATTGTGCTTATTTTACTTCTGTGTGTGTTRTTATGGGTTTATTAGTGGATAACAAACTCTTGAAACATATTGTAGAATAGCAGTTTTACAGTACTACTCTTTTATTCATCTTTTGTTGCAGAGCTGACTTTTTTTTGCAAGGACCTGACTTTTTTCAACCAGTTTGTATCACCTGTGAAGAATTTTCATGTTGACTCTTGGAAACCTGCTGCAGAGTCTTCCCTGTTTACTGTTCAGTCCCGTTTTCTTCTTCCTTTAGCAGGTAAGCACATGTTTCTGTAACACTAATCGCGACTGGAAAATGTTTCCAAATTCAGACACCTGGAGAGTTCATTTTGTTGGACACAGTGGGGTTAACATATCTTCTCCAAAATATCTTTATTTTTTGCCACAGGAAAATACCTGAATAATAGTGCAGTACTTTGGAGTCTTTAGCATCAGTGCATGTCARTCTGCATCTATGTAGCTTTCTTGCAGCTTAAAAAATGCTATGCATGAACTTTCAGCTGGGAATCTATTTACAGCTGAATCAGGATTGTGAGCAAGCAATACAGAAAATTGCTKGAATTGTTGCTATCTGAGAGGAGCCTCTAAATAACTTTATGTCCTTGAGGAAAAAAGTGCTGAAGAGGAGAGCCAGAATGGGTGATGGAAAAGCTGGGGTGTCACCACCACAGCACCCTCAAGCTGAACAAGAGTGTTCAGTTGCTTTTTGTTAAGATCACAGTGAGGGCTACAGAAACAGTTTAAGGTGTCCTGGCTGGCTGTGCATAAAGCAATGGGGGATTCTCAAATGACCCTTATATGAGTGATATGTATATGGGTGTGGCAAGAAGGGACACTGARCAGCTGAGCTGTAGGAATGTCTCACATAGCTACAGCTTTTCTGCAGAGGGGCCTGGCTAAAACATCACTGTTCATTGTTAGAATTGGATTTGTGTTYGAGATTCAAGGTTTTTAGGATAAGAGCTTTTTTAATGATTTCTTGCAATCACTTTCATTAATTGCTAGTCATCAAAGGAGAGTGTGCATGGTGGTGTGCAAGTGCGTTTATGTGAAAGGAAAGTAAGTGTGCTTGCTCTGTCTTTTGTGTTGTTCTGTTTTCCTTTTAACATTATCATCACATGTAGGAACTGTTGTTTTTTTCAAAACAACTTAGAAATTTTCTCAGAAAACAGTTGTCAGTTTCCTCCTCCAAAAGAATTTTCTTTCTSAATGTATAAAGATTTATTTACTTTATCACTAAGCTGCAGAATCTAACCTCTGTTGTGGCTTCAGCTTTTTTCCTGTGTTTTTTTAAGGAAAGAGGTCTTTTTTAAAGTGTTGGTTCATGAAGACTTTTATTTCAATTCAGTTGGTTGTAATGCATGCTTTCTTTCTAATCTGTATGGAGCGGGAATCCTGGAAATTCTTGTTCTATRCTGCCTTATTGCATTGTAGCTGGATTTCCTACAGTGTTACTTGGTCTGATCCCAGGCTGCAGGAGTAAATGGTCCCCTCCAAAATGCAGTTTGCTGGMGCCTTACATTGCTCTAATCATAGTCACAGTGTTGGGTTGGAAAGGACCTTGAAAATCATCTTGWTCCAATCCCCCTGCCATAGGCAGGGACATCTTCCACTAGAGCAGGGTGCTCCAAGCCCCATCCAGCCTGGCCTTGAACAATCCTAAGGATGCAAGGCTAAAACCTGCAGCAGAACTTACCTTGTTCTGTAAACTGGACATGGATGTTTCAAAGTGAAAGAAAAATGAGACCACTCATGTTTACTTGTACTGCATTTTTCCCTTAGGATTTCCAGAGGGCTGTTTTTAGGTACTGCCACTCTGGATTCCCTGAGATGTGAGWTAAGGATATCAGTAGCAGAGAGGGGTTATTGTACAATGGGGACTTGATAGTTCCAAGTCATGATGRGTATGTGCATTGCTTTTCTCTTCACAAGTGATTCATCTGGAAAAGGTGAAGGAAGAATTACTCAAGCAGGAAATCCTTGCTATCTCTGCCTGCACTGGTTCAAGCATACCCAGAAAATTTCTGCTYCTGAAYTTTATAACCCTCCCTGAAACAAATATCCACATCTGCTCTTAGCTAAATTAGCAGTCTACCAACTAATCTGCTACCAATCATGAGTTCTGTCAGCTGCAACTCCAAATACAGCTCCTAGGAGGAGTCAGCCACTGCCAGTTGAAGTAAAAGCTGCTTTCGTGCTTTGTTGAACTGTTTTAAAAGTTCACTGTGTACAATCTGTCTTTTTTTTGTTCACTGTTAAACTTTTTATTCTTGGTATTCTAAATAACTCAGAGTAAACAGAGACCTGTGTGTAAGCCCTCTGTTTTTAGAGCAGCATTTGCAAACTATCCTACTCTAAACTTTTTATAGATTGCCATGTAATCTGTAACCTTACTGATGAGAGTTCCCACCATGCRAGGAGTCATTATTAAACATTATGCCTTGAGCAACTTACTACCACCCTGACRGAGTGTTTGCTGACTGGAAATAGTGATGTCTTATGAAAAATCACTGCTTTCCCAATGCAAACCCAGTATTTTATAACCACTTGGGTTTTTTTCATTGCATCACTGGCTGGCAGTATTACTTTCAGCAATGCTCACAGTTTTATTATATTCAGATTTTATATTCCAACTGTGTGCATATTTTTATAGTTAGAAGTATTACTCACTCTTTATTGTGCTGTTCATTTAAAGATCTTAGGAGTCTGGTCTTACTGTAACAGGGGCCACAGAAAACAGGTAGTGAAAATTTCAGGCCCCCATTAGTTTACATCTGCAGGCCCACAGCCTTTGTAAATGTTCGTCCATAGGTTTTAATTTCTGGATGTGTCCTGTGTTAGTCCATGGAAATGTCACAGGTTTCAAAGTCAGCCCATGCAGAAGCCTTGRCATTGCAGAACCAGTCAGAAAAGGYAAAGTGACACATTTGCTGTCCTCCTGAGGAGACAAGTCAGTAGGAGAGTAAGTCAGTAGGTTGAGATAATAAAGGAATGTTAGCAGGGTTTACTGTGTCATAGCASAGGAGCACTCACTTTTGTAGTAATTAATATTATGGGAAATTGCTGAYAAAGTTGTAACTCTTTGTTTGCTCCCTTTTTCTCCACCTCTAAATAAAAAAGGAGAACCTGATGGTATTTTAAKTTATTGTACATCYCTTATTTACTGCTGGAGGGTGTTASTCTGAGCTCRAGTCTCCCTAAAATTTCATTTGATTCTGTAGCCAGAAGATACTCTTAGGCAGTCATTCTGTTGAGGTTGTCTCATGAAAGCCTTTGTCCTTTTTCTCTCAATCTATCRATGCCTTTGGTCAGCAGCAGATTCACTTAGAAATCCTAATTTAATATCTTCCAACTTGAAATACCAGCTTACCTTGTAAACCAGTGATAGCTCTCAAAGATTTCTTCATCCAGGGTCAGAACATGTACTTGAGCAATTTAAAAATTYGTTAGTTGGATGGCAGATTATTTACATTTGTATTATGATAAGTTAGGCAAAAAGAGACTGGGATGACATTCATGTAATCTAATTTATGTATTCAAAGTAGCACCTTTCATTCCTCTTCCATTTCCTGCAGGGAGGACAGGTTACATCACTGAGAGCTGAGTAACTTCCAAAAGTTAAATTATGAGGCTTCAAAAAAAATCATGATATGGGCTTGAAAATTGATTGAGTTTTTTATAATGTCTTTAGAACTTGRGTTCTACAATTGAACTGAGACTTGTAGCTGTTTCAATGCCATTGATAAATAGATACCATTTCTTGATAAAGGTCTAAGAAGAGGGTGAAATGCAAGTGGGCCCTGGTCATACTTTAATTAAACCTCTCAATTAAATCTTAAAGTATCTAACAGTTTTGGATGCCTTCTGAATGATGCCTCTGTTCTTCCACTGTAYACCCCAGTAGCCTGAGGAGGTTTATGCTGACTTTAGATGAGGAGGAGTACCTCAATTAAGTATCTAGTTGTTGCTACCTTGTGGGGAAAAAATGTTTTCAGTAAGGAAATGTAATGGAATTTGCTTTACCTCCTTGATATTGAGGCATTTCTACTAGGTGGTAACTCATATGTTGATGTCATGTGTCCAGTTGAAGACTGAGTGACAGTGAAGAGTTTTTTCAAACCTTGCTGTGGAGTCTTAAAAAATTCTATCAGTCTTCCCTTTGAAATGTGTTATTTCCCAGAGCATCCCTGAGAAAACACTCAGAATGTGATCCATATTGAGAGGTCGTAGCACTGGACCTGCTGAAATGAAGATTTAAAGGTACAATTGTAAAATTGTGCAATTAAGGCTTTTCATACTCATGCTGTTTCCACTGCCCAATATCTCAGTCTGCAGGGACTGTCTCAGCATGAGTGTGTGAAAGGTGGCAAAASCCCATTTTTAAGTTACTAATGAAATTTCCATCACACTGAGTGTTGCAGAGTCCAAATGCTCAGATAGATGTTGCAATTTTGGATTGTCTTTTAAATCACTCTGGCAATTTTTCCATTCAGAAAGATATCCTTGTGAGACAAAGGGAGAATGATGAATTTTCTGAAAGAATCCATTTGTACTGAACACCAGACTTTTGTGATTCTTGCAGGACTACAGGATTTGTTCCAAAGAGCTATAGCACCGTGCAAATAACAGCAGTGTAATGCCACTAGAATCRAAAGATTCCCCATTTGCACAGCTGACTCTTGCATTGCTTGGGTCTGATGTCCCTGATTTAGGTGCAGGAAGTGACAGAAATCTCAAGGCCCAGGTTGTGTTTCCAGCCATGCTCAGAGAGAACATTACACAAGCGATGTCGTGGCTCTGAGAGAAAAGCCAGGATATTACTTGTAACTAAAGCTAGCCACCAGTGCAGTTTATTAGAAACTCAGTGAGTTACCAAAGTGGGTGCTTTATCTTGGTGACCTTCCAAGGCAATCAGAGCCATCTTGGAAGACCTTGAATCAGAAATGTTTGGATATAAGAAAAACAGCAATGTGCAGCACACACTTCTGATCTCAGGGTTCGCAGATTTGGAAGGCTCTGTGCCATATATAACTGTAGAAGGCAGCACTGAGAGACTGTAGCTGCTACATCAAGGTCATGGTGTTCTGGATCCAATTAAAATTATGCAAGATRGACAATTTAGGAAAGAATTCACATAGAGCTTAGGAAGGGAAAAAAATCATGTGCATTATGAGCTCGGTTACTTCATAAGATTAATTTTACACTATCTCAATATATTGTAATAGGACCACGAAGTATTTTAAAAAGTTTGATTTA